CTTGGGCTCCCCTATTCCGCCCTCCAGCAGCTGGGCCGCTGGTCATCATCGGCCCTCTCCTCATACATCAGGCCTGACACTTTGACCATCCTGGCAGCCCAGCGCCTCTTTGCATCTCCATAAAACACTTGCAAACTTCCTGGTGGCGGCAGCAGCTGAGTATCCGCAAGCATGGTCGCAGCAGCTGAGTATCCGCAAGCATGGTCGCAGCAGCTGAGTATCCGCAAGCAATGGTCGCAGCAGCTGAGTATCCGCAAGCAATGGTCGCCCGCAGAGACTGTTCGGCAAAGACTGTTCGGCAGAGACTGTTCGGCAGAGACTGTTCGGCAGAGACTGTTCGGCAGAGACTGTTCGGCAGAGACTGTTCGGCAGAGACTGCTCGGCAGAGACTGCTCGGCAGAGACTGCTCGGCAGAGACTGCTCGGCAGAGACTGCTCGGCAGAGACTGCTCGGCAGAGACTGCTCGGCAGAGACTGCTCGGATGAGGATCCGCAAGTTGGTCACAATAGATAGCGGTCACAGCATATAGTGATAGCGGTCACAGTATATAGCAAAAAATGGTTAGCGGTCACAGTATATAGCGATAGCGGTCACAGTATATAGCAAAATGGTTAGCGGTCACAGTATATAGCAAAAAATGGTTAGCGGTCACAGTATATAGCAAAAAATGGTTAGCGCGCGATGGTCGCGACTCGTCAGCATATAGCGATAGCGGTCACAGTATATAGCGATAGCGGTCACAGTATATAGCGATAGCGGTCACAGCATAGAGTAGTCTCGACGTCTGTCCCCTTCAAACCAGGCTGCAAAACTCCATCAACTCACAACCTTTTTGGGGATTGGCACGCTCCATCGCAGAGCCCCTCCGATCTGAAGGCCGCACCGGGGCCTAGGGCGCCAAACCTCCTCCCAATAAATACTCAAAAGCTTCTTGTTTCACGTCTCTCCAAATTGAAATGCAGCCAGCGTAAGTTCAATTTGGTAGACGTCAGCCAAAGGTAACCCCTCCAGGCCGGTTCTCATCCCCAGCCTATCGCACGGCAAACGCCCCCTTCCAATCACCGGTCCAGCCAGGCAAGCTGCTTAAAAGCGGAGGAACTCCCATTCTCGGCCTCTTGAAGCTGCAGCCACCGCCTCCCCTCCTCCTCCTCTTCACCCTGCTTCATTCTGCCTTCAATCTGCTTCCCGCTGCCAAATGCCGCCACCAGTGCCTAGGTCCCGGGGGATTGGCACACCTCCATCGCAGAGCCCCTCCGATCTGAAGGCCGCACCGGGGCCTAGGGCGCCAAACCTCCTCCCAATAAATACTCAAAAGCTTCTTGTTTCACGTCTCTCCAAATTGAATTATTATAGATCCATGTTATTATCAGATCCATGTTATTATTATAGATCCATGTTATTATCATAGATCCATGTTATTATCAGATCCATGTTATTATTATAGATCCATGTTATTATTATATATCCATGTTATTATTATGGATCCATGTTATTATTATAGATCCATGTTATTATCATAGATCCATGTTATTATTATAGATCCATGACAGTTATTATTATAGATCCATGTTATTATTATAGATCCATGTTGTTATCATAGATCAATGTTATTATTATAGATCCATGTTGTTTTTATAGATCCATGTTATTATTATAGATCCATGTTATTATCATAGATCCATGTTAATATTATAGATCCATATGTTATTATCATAGATCCATGTTATTATTATAGATCCATGTTATTATTATAGATCCATGTTATTATCATAGATCCATGTTATTATTATAGATCCATGTTATTATTATAGATCCATGTTATTATTATAGATCCATGTTATTATTATAGATCCATATGTTATTATCATAGATCCATAGATCCATGTTATTATCATAGGTCCATGTTATTATCAGATCCATGTTATTATTATAGATCCATGTTATTATTATAGATCCATGTTATTATCATAGATCCATGTTATTATTATAGATCCATATGTTATTATTATAGATCCATATGTTATTATAATATAAACATGTTATTATCAGATCCATGTTATTATTATTATAGATCCATGTTATTATTATAGATCCATGTTATTATTATAGATCCATATGTTATTATCATAGATCCATGTTATTATCAGATCCATGTTATTATTAGAGATCCATGTTATTATCATAGATCCATGTTATTATAATAGATCCATGTTATTATTATAGATCCATGTTATTATTATAGATCCATGTTATTATTATAGATCCATGTTATTATCATAGATCAATGTTATTATTATAGATCCATGTTATTATTATAGATCCATGTTATTATCATAGATCAATGTTATTATTATATCCATCCATCCATCCATCCATCTTCTTCCCCTTAATCCATTTCTGGGTCGGGGGGGTGGCCAGAGATGCCACCCAGTTCACAGAGCACCAGCCCCTCACTGATCCTCCTGCAGGTGGTGAGTCCACAGGAGCTGAGATCTTTCAGTGGGGGCTTCAGGCAAAGTGGGGTTAAGTGTCTTGCCTAAGGACACAACGACAGCAGTCATCAGTGGGAGTCGTGAAGTAGGTCTTACGGTGGGCTTGAACCCACGACCTTCAGGCTCAAAGGCCAATGCTCTACCAACTGAGCTACTGTCGCCCCTGTTATTATTATAGATCCATGTTATTATTATAGATCCATATGTTATTATCATAGATCCATGTTATCATAGATCAATGTTATTATTATAGATCCATGTTATTATTATAGATCCATGTTATTATTATAGATCCATGTTATTATCATAGATCCATGTTATAGATCCATGATCCATAAGTTATTATTATAGATCCATGTATCCATAAGTTATTATTATAGATCCATGTATCCATATGTTATTATTATAGATCCATGTATCCATAAGTTATTATTATAGATCCATGTATCCATAAGTTATTATTATAGATCCATGTATCCATATGTTATTATTATAGATCCATGTATCCATAAGTTATTATTATAGATCCATGTATCCATAAGTTATTATTATAGATCCATGTATCCATATGTCTTGACAAGAACGCGGCGGAGGAGGAGAGCTGGCATCAGTGGTGTGTTCGGCATCAGGTGGTATTTCAAAGTGGATGTGCAGCGGTGATAACTAGTCAACTAGACAACACAGATAACTTTGGTCTTGTCAGTCGACCCATCTGGCAACTCTTTGAAAATAAACTTTTCATTCAGAAGCTTGTTAACATCCATTTCGGCTTTTTGCGCTTGACAAACCAGTCTCTTTCACAGCGAGCGAGCAGCAAGACCGGAGTGAAACAGTCTATGAGTAAAACACAAACCAAACACTAGCAGAGGGAGAGAGGGGTTCCTGTTTCTGGTGTCTGTAGTTTGTCTAATGCTATTAACAGTGATCACAGCTAAAACTAAACTACAAGTGAAGTAAGTGAAAAATAATGGTCGCTTGATTTAAAAGAATGACGGCGTTAATATTGAATTGCGTTAACACATTAAAAACACGATATTTTGGACAGCACTATTTATAATCATTCAATTATTCATAAAAGTTTTTTTTTACGTGTTTCCCAAGATTTATGCCTCAAAAATGAAGTGATATGCCAATAAATGCATCACCAAAATGTAGCTTTATCATGCACATTAACTAAAACTCACCCTAATTATAAGAAATGTTGGCCAATTTTTACAGTTCATTTCATAACCTTGTTATTTCAGATCACAAACTTGGCGACCTCAAAGCAACAGTGTTTAGTACAACCCGGTCTCAAAGTGAAAGTATTTCCTTCACAAAGTCAATGTTGCACCAGCATCACCACATATTGTAACAAGACCCCAACTTCCAGCCTTCTCCTGACCTTAATAAGTCAATTATAATCAGTGCTGTCTTTTCATCTCCCCGACTTCCCCTGGAAGCCATCTTGTCTCCTCACTCTAGCCCCTTGTTACGTCTGCTGTTATCTGAACATTTCGGTGGCCTCACGCTGGCTCTGCGCTTCAGTCTGGAGCCTATAGTTTGTGTGTGAGCTCATCAGACACCCACCGGCCTGATTAGCAGATAACTGCACCGTGTTTCCACACAAAGGCTCATGTAATCATTTGATAGAGCGTAGAGGAGGGAATGAATTCAGGCCCATCACCATTTATATTACTTAAACATTTGGATTCACAGTGAAATGTTATTGCAAAAGTTACCCAAACTTATGGGGCAGTGTCACTTTTTCTCCCATTTATTGATTTTTTTTGCAATACAACTGTTAATATGCACAATTATTAACATTTCTGGACATTGGTCATCCAGCTCCCAATGGCTCCTGAGTGTTTGTTGTTATTGCATATCCTGGGTTTGATTCTCTGATATGTTGTTGGTGAATCAACAACTTTGTAAAGTCCTCTGAGACAACTGAGATTTAGGGCCATACAAAAATAAAGTAAATTGAATTGAATGAAAAAAACAGAAATATATCTAGTATTGAAGCCTCATCCACTAACATACTGTACTTTGTCCTCTCCAAACTGCTTTTGAATTATTATATTCAATTTGTGCCGCATTTGAAAATCTTCAAACTGAACTTTTCATAATCACATGCACTCCCATCATCACAGTCGAAAATCTACTGAATACACACTAAAAATTACTCAAAAATGGGACTTGTTCTTCGTGTGGCCCCTGAGGCTTATTGCCCCAGTGGAACAGGTATAATTATGTATGTGTCTTGTAGCCAGTTATCCAGTGAACAAATGTGGGACGGAAAAAAAGTGCTACCGAGCTTTCACAGGGACACATTTTAACCTCAATGCAGTGCTGGCTTTGGTGTGCACCCAAGAATAAAAATAAACCCTTATCACTTTCAGAATGATGCGGCAATGAGTCTGAAGTACAGACAGCTCTCACGTCATATATAATGTGTATAATGTACATGTGGAAATATATTATTTTACTTACTTATTTACTTTGAAAGACAATTTCTCACATGTTCTTTTACCTCTCCATAAAGTCAACCTTTTTGCGTCCACCTGAAAGAAGTCCCAAAACTTCCTGGAATTGCTCCGAAACCCCGCTGTGTCTTTTGCTCTTGTACCTTCAACTTCTAGGTTTTCGCTCACACATTTTTGCGCTACTCTTGAGTTATGCTTCCTCGAGTGTGCTGTCTCGACCTGTCAGTCATCCTAATCACTTGTAGAAGCGTCTGTGTGTGTGCTTCTGTGTGTGCTTGTGTGTGTGTGTGTGTGTGTGTCGCCATATATATCTGTATCCTGTCACTCTGCTCCTCTCACCTGTTCCCTTTTTGCAAACGTAGGGTAGATTGTAGTTGCAGGGCACGTCGTTCCATTTGCCGTTCTCATGAGCGATCATCACCACGCAGTCTTCTCCTCCAGCAAAGAAGTTGTCGGGTTGGTTTTCACGCCAGTTTTCGTATTGCTGCCAAAACACAATACAAAACATTGAAGGTATATAGGAGGATTTTCCCAAATTTTAGGAAAGAACCGCCCTCTCCACTTTTTGAACAAAACTCTCTGCTCTTATTTGACGAGCACGTATCACCTTAATAATTGACAATTGGGAGGACCAATAGTTTTGAGGATCAACCGGGAAGTAGAAAATCATCCTATATACCTTTAAATAAAAACATATATTAGTCTCAGTGGGTTTTATGTTCAACTTTAAAAACTGCGATAAAAATACACAATTATTAACGGCTTATTAACCGAGCGCAAGGTCTGTATGGAGAAATATCAGACCGCGGCCTTAATGTACAGACCGAGCCGTGGCGAGGTCTGTGCAAAAAGGCCAAGGTCTGATATTTCTCTGTACAGACCGAGCAAGCAAGGTTAATAAATGTTTTATTTTATGACTCTCGTCTGTGTCTTTACCAATGCTTTTGAGATATTTGTGAAGTATGTTCATGTCCGACTTGGTTTTGTGTGATACGCGCTGTGGACCGATTGTCATGGTAACGGTCCGAGGAAAGATATAAAATGTGATACGCGCTGTTCGGACCAATTGTCATGGTAACGGTCCGAGATGGGAAAATATCAGACCGCAAATCAACCAATCAGAGCGTGCGTACGGTCCAAGTCATATGATAAATATGAATATTATCTATGGCACAATAATTGAATTCCACTATTTCAAAACTATAAATAAATCCTGAACTACCGTGCTGGATTTTTAAAAAGTGCAAAACATCTCTGTTTTCAAAAAACAATACACATTTTTTTTGATTCTCCAACAATTGATCTGTAACATTCTGTCTTTCGGGGATGAAGTTTAAACAAGATTTTCTCTTGATTATCATGTTGACAATAACTCAGAATGTAATGTTTTTGCCATAGTGCCCATCCCAATACTGAAGTTTATCCAATTCGACTGTCCTGACTCTATCTACTCTACTAAATGCCCAGTATGTCTGTTGTGGTCGCATTGCCGACAGTAAGTCAGACAGTAGTTCTGGAAATAGGTGCTTTGCCCTCTCCAGGTGTGTGAAGAGGTCCTTGATCAGATCATGTGGAGGAGTTCAAGTGTCTCATGGTCTTGTTTACGAGTGAGAGAGCGATGGATCATGACATCTGTGACAACGGTCACTGTATTAGACTGTTGTGGTGAAGATTGAGTAGAAAGGCAACGCTCTCAATTAACCTACGTCAATCTATGTTCTCACCCTATGGTCATGAGCTTTGGGCAATGACCGGAGGCAAAATTGCCGCTACTCACAGTAAAAATGAGTTTCCTAGGAAGTGGCTATGAGCACCCTCAGATATAAAGTGAGCAGCTCAGAAGGAAATCGTAAAGCCGGCTGATCATTTAATACATTTTTGATAAATAAATATTGATAAAATTAAAATTAGATGGTGTAAAGTCTACAAGTATAGTTTTGCAAAAGAACCATGTGATTGGAATTGAACTTTTGTATCATCATGGTCAATAGCTGAAGACAATACAACATAATCTTAGAAATCTCACTGGCACCAAACAAAGAGCACTCAGAGTCATAATAGAAGAGTAATTAATGAATGCATTTCTTTCTCACAAACGCAAAACCCCCGATGAGATAACAAGCACCCACATTCTCCGTTTCTACATCACAGATTCTCTCGATTAAAATAAGTAAACGCAGATTAAACTGAGAGCTGAAGATGAATAAAATTAAAGAAGTGCTTCACCAAGTCCATTTTGTCGGTCCACTGGAAATCATCCTCCACTGTGCGATCATTCAAGCCAATCCACGTATTGTCATGGCTCAGGCCTGCAGACAAAAACAAACAGAAACAATGTATCAAATACAATTAAAATCACTGTGCAAAACGTGTCAATAAAATAAATATTATGCCTCAATAACATTTGTTTACTGTAACGTTGTAACTGTTGTGACCACTCTGCATGAGAACAATTGAAAAGTTCTGAGTTTTCCCACATTATAAATATATTTTTCTAACTTTGTGATGCAGCCTTGACAAGTTAAAGGTCATTGATTCATGTCCATTAATCAAATCCTGTTACGTTTTTGACTATATGGTAAAACTAAGCGATCTTTTCAAACAAGAAACCAGTTTGCATTTTAAACAGCCCTGAAAGGCTTATGCAGCATTAGCGTCTCTCTGGCCGTAACACAAGCAAACAGCTCATTATCTTCTAGTGGATATATGACAGTGTGTGGCTCTAACAATAGGCTGGACAACTGGAGCACGGAGGTCTCAGCACACAGGCTACAGCCGTAATGACTTCCTCTGGTTCTGCTGGAGATGCTACTGATGAGATCCCTCTTTGAGAAACGCACTCAGTGTCAGTATTTTGGGTATAATCTGGGCTTTCTGCGACTCGTGGAGCGTGCATGTCTCCTTGCACATATGTGTGAGGGAATTTCAATCATGGTTTATCTGATTAACATTATTAACAGGCCCATTAATCTCCCTAATAGCCGCCGTCGCCTCATCGCAGAGGCGGAGTCGTACATTTTCAAGGCAATTAAACACACTTTTGGGGAAACTGTGCTTGTGCAGCGGAAGAAAGACGGCCTCTGGATGGATGGTGATGGGTTGGCAGCTGGTAGAGACAGAAGGTGGGGCTAGAACAGTGCTGCTGTCGCTGGCCTTATTGAAACACAAGTGGCAGTGGATCAATGCCAGAGGGTAAAAAGAGGAAGCTTATCGGTCGACCAAAGAAAATGTGTACGGATATTAGCATGCTAATGTTTTTGGCACAGACAAATGGATATCTACTGCCAAACATTTAAGTCCAGGGATAACAGAAAGCCTGCAGTAAGACACGGGTAACAACCCATCCTTGTCACTGTGCCACTTGAAAGCAGGATCTTTTTAAGCACAAATCAACAAGAATTTAAAGGGAATAGTATTTTGTCCTTCATAGTGTTTCTGACGCTTGGCACAAATGGAGCTACACCTCACGACGACAAAGCAGCCTCACCTTTTCCCGCAACAAATTGGATTTGAGGAAGTAATATGACAGTATATTAAATGCAGTGTCAGAGAGGCTCACATCATCGCCTACAGCTGAGTTTACTGTGGTATGAAATACCGATACACATGTCATTGTACCTTAGGATATGGCTTTTACTCAAGAGAACATATAATAAATGCATTTAAGAGCAAGAAAGAGTACACATTTATCACAGGGTAAGAGAAGACGCAGGAACTAGGAGATGTGTTTGACAGTGGAGGTAATGATATGGTGCATGATGGGTGTGCAGTCCCAGGGAGCGGGAAGGAGAAGGAAGGAAGGGGCAGCAGGTGCACAGTGGACAGACAGCTGTTCAGAGGATAAACACTAGATTATTTTCATTATGCAGATGATTTGTGGCTTGGCAGATGTGACCGGACCAGTTTGGTGGTGATGTATGGTGAAGGAAAAGGGCACATAATGTTACTTGCAAATGAACAGAGGGCAACATGAGATTCTCAATGATCAGTCATGGTATACACAAAAAGCCAGACATAGTCAACGTTCAGGAGGCATTTCGCAATGAACCTAATCTGCAAATGGACTCTATACAAGTTTGAATGGTGAATGACATGTCAAACAGATAAGTGTTTTAAAATATGTTTAAACAATTTGCTGTTCTCTGACACAGAGATGAACAAAAAATCTTGGTTTTAACATATTTGATCTTTGAATATCCCCTCATCATGGTGGACACTTGATGACACAATGAGATCAAAATGACACCTAACGATTGATCATCAGACCCTTGGCCTCCGTCCCTGTAAAATAAAAGTCTCAGACTTAGAGCTTAAATAGTTTCTTAAATAGCCTAATAGATTGTCCTCCTCAGTGAATGAAAGCATCTGATTTGTCAATCCAACTCCAGGATCAGAGAGAGCACCAAAACATGGATTTTTAAAGCCCAAAACGTGAGTGTGACACAAACAATTACTGAGCTAGAGGAGTTTGCTTTTCAAAAATCAGTTGGAGTTTGTTCATGAGCACTTCTCTACTGGGCATCATTGAGCTTGCGGGTAAGCCTTGCCCCCCTATATACAGACTATGGTTCCAACAGAGACACAGATGTACTGGAAGTCTCATAAAAAGAAGTGGACGTTCTTTGGGGACACCCCACAAACTGACGACCGCTTCAAATAATGCCCTGCTGAACTGGAATACCAATGCCACTGAACTGCAGACACATATGGGGGAGTTCAGTCTCACATGTGACAGACCAGTGGGCCTGGGTTTTCTGATGAAAGTCGATTCATGCTGAGCAGAAAAAATGTCCGCCAACGATGTAGAAGAGGGCTTTGCACCAGCCTCTGTCACCAGGCGAGCCTTGGTGTGAAGGTGTGTCTTCTCAATACAGAGACACGACACAAGATTTAAGGATGATAATAAGTTTAATAAGACTTAATCTTTACTAAAGCCAATTATTCTATAAAAACACAAGAGACAACTAATTTTTTTGTCTCCTGTGCTAAAAATGATTGCATTTTATTCACACGCACAAGTTAAATGTCAAGTTTATTCAACCTTTACAACTTAGATTTACATCCACTCTGTATAAGCCTTTGGGAGCCTTTCTTCCTCTTATGCACTAAAATCAGCAATCTCTTTTCCGCTTGATTAGCACTTTATATCAGGCTGATTAATTGGACACTTCTGGCTCTTGCAATCACTTTAGACCAAGACGGTTCTCAGACCTTTTCTCTAAATGTATATACATGTATTCTATGACGTGCAAATCCTACCTCTGATGAAGTTTTGCTCGGCTGCACTGTGAATACTGGCCAGGTGCCCGCTGTGCTCCCTGCAGTCCTTCTCCGCGTCCTCCCACGTGTGTCTGCGGCTGAAGTAGCGGTAACAGTGTCCGTGGAACTTCCTCCAAGAATGCTCACAGCCCTCAGTGTCTGAAAAGAAGGGTCATCCATTTAACATGATTAATATTCATATGTTTGAACTAGATAGATCATTTGTTTGGGATTTCTCTAACATGTGGATGGTCTAGTTTGAGTTATTGTTGTCTTAAAATAATAAAAAGAGCTGCTCATTTGCCTTTTCAAATTCTTTTCTGTTCCGGTGTCACCTTCGATGTATTGATGTCCTTAATACACTTCCTTCTCATAACTGGGGTACCTACCTAACCTACACCAGTATTGCTTTGTGCATGCAATGACATGTAATTCAGGTGTCTCCAACCTTTTTCACCCAGAGAGCTACTTTCCCGAGATGATAAAGGCAGAGAGCTACTCCTTTAAGCAAACCCTGGGAAAAAAACTGGTGAATAAGCCTGATAGTGGGTACAGTCATTATTTATCATCACATATTTGTTACTAGTGATAAATTAAGGGAATTGTCAATAATAAATAATGATAATGAATAATACAATCTGAAAAATTAAGTATATTTATTTGATTTGTCCATTTCTAAATCCTTTGGCGAGCTACCTGGAAGGGAGTGGCGAGATACTGGTGGCTCCCGAGCTACAGAATGGAGACCCCTGATCTAGTTCCTGGCTCTAAAACAGTTTGGTTCTAGTATTAGTTTCCTTATGTATTTTAAGGCACATTTTGAACTATTTTTAATAATAAGATTAAGAAAGTCTTTTGAGGTCTGATTTGCTCACAACAGTTTACTTGTACTGTTTTATCGGGACAAACAAAAGGTAGAGCAGGGTGTTTAGTAAGGAAAATGACTTACTATGCAGTACTATTCTACTAAAATTACTAATACTAATATGCTGTTTCTTTGTAGACACAGACATTTAAGACAGCACATACAAACTTTCCATTCACACTCAAATAACCCCAACAGTAAGATATCATCAACTCTAACTCTCATGTCCAGGCTCCAAGCCTATTTTATTTTGCTGTGCGACAATAACATTCAACTTGTCCTGAAGCAATCACTTTTCAAACTTCTTGAAAATATCCCTCCGTCTGTCTGTCCTTCTTTCCCTCTCTGCAGCCTTTGATTCCACTTTTAATTCACAGCCCCCGCAGAGAGACAGCCAAGTCCAGTGAAAGGGCATTTTAATCTATTGAAATGACAACAATCCTTTGAAATATCCTCCAGTTCGGTTGGTAATTAAGCCCTGTCATAGTGCTGTCAGATCTGCCCCCTTTCCAACACCTCCCTTGGGATACATGCTGTTAGACACTCTCCCTGCTCCTTGCTGCATATATATTCACTTCTATGTAAACTAGACGGCTGAGATTTAACATATCAACTTGGCTTCTCCTCGAATGTGGTGTGGAGATCTGGAGAAAAGACTTAAGTTTCCTCTCTCTCAAATCTAAAGTGACACGAGTAAATTGGCCATTGCAAATTGTGTCGTATGGGGCTGTGTTTAGTATGCAGCCGGGACGTGTGCTTGGCCAGAGAGGTGTCCATTAGAGAAGGCCCCTCTGTATTCTAATGCAAAATCAGGTTCTCCAGCCCTTCACACTATATCATAGCAATATTTAACATGCATGGGGTTTCTTAATCTTGCCTTATATCAAAATAACCATACAGCCTGCAGTTGAAACTCAGAAAATTAGAATATTGTTCAAAATATCATATATTTATGTACTTCAATTTAAAATATGAATTACAATGCCAAGTGACAAGCTTGACATAATTGTCAACAATATAACAAATAGGCTTGCAATGAGTCTTTCATAAATTATTTTCACATTGTAAGTTGAACTACAGAAGAATTTTACCCGTCTATCCTTAATCTAAGCTGGATGTTTAAATCACATGCACGCACATTTAGATTTTGAAACCAGTAGGAATGCAGGCTATGTGGTTTCTTTATATAGGTATATAAATACTGGATAGGAGATATTACAGCCAAACAACATATTCCCTCCTTTGACATTGACTTCCAGCCAAAGCAAAGTCAAACAAAGCCATTTCATGATATAAAGTTGGAGTATTTTTTCTTTATCCAAGTCTTTGAATGCAATTGTTAATACATAACCTAGGGTCATGTCTCTCGGTTAAACCTTAATAACAAAAATGCACTTTTTGTGAACAACCATAAAATTGCAATGAATAAGAAAACACACAATATGTGTTTTTCACACATATTGTTTTCAAGTTTAACATGCCATGTACAACTGAATGATGTGGGCTATGTTATTACAACTGTCATCACTCCAGATGGTCTCCTGACAATACAAAACGGTTTTATAATATAAAATACTCAGTACAGTCTCTCTCAAAATGGTATATTTGAAAAGTAATTCTCAAAACACGCAGGTGTGCCATGTCGCTGTCATACCCAGAGGAATGTGCACCTTCAGAGCTGTGCATTCAAGCCCTACACGACGATGAGCAATGCTAATATTTGGGAAAGAGTGAGCGAAGGTGTCCAGTCTGTTGGCAGTAGTTAAAATTCATGATTCATGGGATGCCCTGTTTGACAAATGCAAAGTGATATTTAAAATGAAGTATCCAGCTGGCAAAGCAATATCGCAGCTGAGCTTTGAAATGGAGGCTAGAATATGATAAAAAGGGTTAAGAATTCAATGGGCCAAATGTTCAGTATGTACAAATAATTTTTATGTATGTAATCGTATTTGTTATTCCATGGTTCTATTAATGGAAATATTTGACAATATTCTCACTACACACATCTCAAAAAGGTTTGTATCTTTATTTATTAATAATTGTAGAAGCCTATTGCTTAAATCGTCGTTCAATACTATACGCAGTCCATGTCTTGTCCTTTGTTGAACCAGAAAGAGTGAAAATGCCACATAACTTCAGTAGCTTCAGAATAATAGCAAACTCAGTATAAAAAGCACATTCGTCTTATGAAAGAGATTTGTGAATTTGAATTTCAAAAAGGGCTGATCCTAGTTACACCAAACTAAATAACATCATCACGGTTTACATCATGCAAATCCCAGAAAATAGGACGTGGAGAAGAGAACATGGATCTACATATTTCTGGATAACTCGCGCATGACGCTAATCGGCTGCATTTTCATAAATTATCAAGTGAAGTTTTCCGTCTACTCCATCTGCACTAAATACATTTATAGGATGACACTTAAAAGTATATAACATGTCTCAAATGATCATATATACACAAACACACACACACTAAATAAATACTAATGAAGGGAGAAGCTGCACCATTATGTCTTTTTACTTCTGCCTATTTTCTACTTTATTTTGTACAATTACAACATATAAAGGAAAGCAGTTGATGCAAAAGCCCAAACGTTGGTAGGAGCTTCACTCTTCATGCCATAATTCTTATTGAAGTCTTACCCCGAGGTTGGGTCTTTTTAATTGCTGTGTGGACTGTGAGATGCAATGATGATTTAATAAATGTAATGTCTCCGTTTATTTGAATGGGGCAGTGTATATTCATGAAAAGCAGGGGCTGTATTTTGATTCTTATAAATGACCGTACAGTTTGATTTTTGCAGATTGTACCGTCGGCCACAACATTTCCCCTTTTGAACACTAAAGTTGAGAAGGGTTCGCTAGACGTTACTTTTGATTTCTACGACAACCATTACCAGCACACGCGATAAATACACTGACATATTCTTTTCTAGCCCAAACATCTCATTTTGAGTTGAAATGTACATTTGAGTCATGTAATTCTCAGTTTCTATGACAATATGAACATTATGTCTATCTTTACCTGCCATGTTTTTGTCACGGGGATTGGCACACATGAGTTTTTCTTCTGATGTGTCAGCTAATGCAGTGTAATGGATTTGGATGACTCTTGGTAAGGTTGCACTCAGGTTGCACTGTTGTAAATAAAGATACATTATGATTCATATCTATACCATAATGACCATGTCACCACTGCTCAAACAAAATGGAAAAAGACAATTTATTAATGGCTTATAAATATTAAACATCACTAACTATGGACATTGGTCATCGTGCTCCCAATGGACCAATGGCTCCAATATGTTTGTTATTATTGCATTTCCTGTGTTTGAATAGTTTGATTCTCTGACAATGAACCACTTTATAAAGTGTGGATATATGAAAACATTTAACTGAATCAATTTGGCAAAATCTATGTATCTTTGTGAAAAACAGCATATGGAGTTGCAATTCCGTTTTATTTCACCACACATTTTCTACTTCTGATATTTTTTTGCATTCTAAAACATGGAATGCCAATCAAAATAATGCATGATTTTTCTTCTTCAAGGATGTACTTCTTGTCTGACGAGCAGTGAGACGCTGGTGAAAGCTTGACAAGACCGTGAAATTAATGTTGAAATAAAATGTCTAAAATGTCTGATTCAGTTTATAATGGCACAATATGTTTAAAAGTGTGAAGCCTCTGCTGTGAGTCCAGTGCGTTAACTCAGCAATTTGCAGCTTTTACTCGAGAAGCAAGATTAAATGGAATGTAATGGTTACATCCAAAACCTCACATATCTCAAGTTGAGCGTTATATGCACGCCGTTCGTCAGCTCAGAGTGAGCGCAAGACCTCACATTGTGTTGGCTCCGGGAGGGAGTCCAGTTCAGATTCCAGTCCAGAGTCCAGCTGAGGCCTGTGCGAGGGGCAGAAGGCCTTGTTATCTGCAGGAACAGGAACAGCAGAGTTGGGGAGGGTGTCACCTCCAGCCGCACTCCAGTGACTTCATAAGTAAAACACACACACACCTTTTGGCTGTGTGGTCCGCTGCTTTGGACTCTCTTCTGAGCCCAAGCCTAATTCTGCTTTTATTAATATTCAAACAAGTGTTCAAAGGAAAGAGTAAAACTGAAATTCTAAAAAAAGTTGGCAAGTTAAAAGAAAAAACCCAGTCACAGACCATTCTAAAACTTATTTAAAATATGTGAATATATAAATTATTTATTAACAAAATTTGGATTGATGTCTTAATCCTATACATTGGTCTATGTTTGAAGTTTATGAATCCCATTATTTA